TCCCGAATTTCCTGGCCAGTGATGAAAACTAATTATGATGGGAAAAATCATTTTCTTCTTGTGAACACTGAAGATGTTTACTGCGGATGAGAACGTATATGCCGTGAAAGATATAGAGAGAAATAAATCTGGTATTTCCAAGCACCCATGTATTTTTCTGTTTATTATATAAAGGACAGTCCTTGAAAAGCGAAAATTTTTACAGAAAAAGCGATAATTGAAAAGTGATAATTTTCACACGTACAAATATCGTATTTTTTACGTGTGTTTAAATACGATTTTTCTCAGTGGCCAAAAACTCTATATAACACTTATGTTTATATAATAAACAGCTTTCTGCATTTCTTGTAACAAGTTTCACAACGTCTTATACGCTAGATATTGAGACTTCGAGGCGCCATATTGCTGTGACCTCATTAATTATTCACCATCAATTTTAAGACGAAAGAAAGGCCACTGATGACCATTTTTATCCAGACAATACGAGACCTTTCCCAACAAGAAATCTCTTCTTCCATGAAAAAAAAGAGAAATCTCTTCTTCCATGTCAACAAGACTAGATTTGTGGTGGTCACATCAACATGCCCGTCATTGGCTTCATTTATGCATAGCCGATCATTAATCCAGTGTTAGTCTTGAGATCAGCGAGTACCACCAAGGCTCGAAATAGCGGCCTGCTAATGGTGAAAAGCAAGATATATTTCAGAAATGAAATGGGCGTACCTCGCATTTGTATACATGTTTCTTGCAAAATGAGATGATTTTCTTTAAATGGTGTTGTAATTGTCCAGAATTGACTTGAATTAAATCCTTAAAGAAGAAGGAAAATTTGAAATTGACATTTTGACACGAAAGCTATGGGTGGTACGGGTGGAAGATGCGGTTAACACTCTCTGCAGGCGTTTCAAAAATTAGGAAAGATGCATGCTGTATTCAGGCGTACGACATTGGGGAATTCATTACGGACTGCGAAGGTAGCGGGTTAACGCTCTATCCTTTATCTCTGACTGAAGCCTGCTACTGCAGGTCGAGGACGGGGATTTACTCAGGTTGGCTAACTTCCCCTGTGCTTGATAAATAATGTAAGTAGAGTTTGGTTAGTTCTCTCCTGCTTCGAGGATTTTTCCCCGGTACTCAGGTTTTCCATCTAACTAACCCTTTGCCAATAATCATAACGAAAAACACATTAAACTAAACACTTTCAACTCAAATATTTGTAAAGCAACAGATGATAAAAGAGAAATATATATCCAATTTCTATCAGAGGGAAATACATGTTACAATAAATATTACTTCTCTTACCAAAAGAGAATACTGATGAATATCGTCCCAAAGATACTCCCTTGGCCACATTCTAAATGAACATTGAAGTAAAAAATACTGTGACGATCTATTTGCACGATTATGTACACAGAAGGAAAGCATGTTATAGCAAAAGAATACAAGGTCTGGCACCTTCGTTTCACATCTTCTGATATCATACTGTTCTTACAAGTCATGACATAACCCTTCAAAGATTGAAGCTGAATGCGCAATTGCTGAAGAGAAAATATAATATGTCACATTGTTGTTGCTAGTTATAGCAGAGTAGAAAAATGTGGAGGTGATGCTCGTATTTTATGGTAGCAGTAGCAATCAATGTGGTACTACAGTGATGGTCATGGTGGTGATGATGATGGTGGTGGTAATGGATCGTGACTGTCATGGTGATGGCAGTAATCTACTGGTAATTGGTAACGATAGTGTTCAAGATGCTTGTAGCTTATAGTTGTTGTGGTAGTGGAGAGTATAGTAGTACAGTGATGATGGTGGTGTTTGTGATGATGATGTTGGTGATGATGGTGGTGGGGATAGTGATGGTTATGTTGGTAATGATGGTGGTGGTGATGAAGATGGTGGTGATGAGGATGGTGTTAGTCGTGAAGATGATGGTGGTGGGGATGGTGATGACGGATCCTAGGATCCTAATGGTCATGATGTAATGATAATAATCTTCTGGTAAAGATGGTGTTCAAAATGCTGATGCAATATTGTAGTTGTTATCGTGGTGGTGAGTTAAATGATTATGGTAGTGGTGGTAATGATAACGGTCAGGATAAAATGATGTTGCAAGTGGCTGGTATGATGGTGATACGATTATAGTGGTGAAAAGGATTACCTTTGCTTTATTCATCTCACTGATGACATTATACAATGTTGGATTAACTTCATCAATATGAAACAGTGGTTCTTCATCGATTTGCATTAAAAATAATTTCACTTGTTTGGCCACTGTGAAATGGAATAGAATTATAGAATAGAAGTCCGTCAACATCCAATGGCCTTCTAACAATTCTTTAAACAATCGTATCAATATGTACCTTTATATTTTGAGAGATCCCAGTTGTGAACAATCTTGGAAGGGATGGTATGTTCATCATCAATATGACATTCATAGCAATAATAACTAAATAAAATAACATGCATTGTTGTATGATGTTTATCTCGGCGTAAGTTAATTTGCAATATTTGATAATACCTTCCGTCGTAGGCACACACTTTATATTGTCCATAAACTGAAAGAAATAGAAGAAAAGACAAGGTTAAAACCGACATGGGTTTATGGGTGTATATAAATTATGGTACAGTGACGGTCATTTGCAGTTTGCGAAATACAAAGTTAGTTTATATGTTATAATAATCACTACTAAAATAATAAGATTAAATAAAATGATTAAAATCAACTACACGTACTCATGCCAATGGGTCTTGAACATCCCTGACATTTATAATTTTGTCCATCCAGACCTTTTTCACGCGCGATATTGTTCACTAAGGACATTAAACCCATACTGCGATCATGTTCTAAGAAGCTGTCCTGGGGCGTTGAAGGGTCAGCGATAACCTAAAATACCAGGAAAAGGCTATTATAGTTACTCCAATTCAACCTTGAACGGCAGTGCTTGAACGGCAGTGCCATGCGTCCTGGGACGCCCCTAGAACGAAAAATGGACGCCTTTAATTGGACGACCAAATTCTGGGGGGAAAGGGAAATTAATTTCCCTAAGCATATTAATATATCCGAAACGAAATAGCTTCAATTCTCATTATCATTATACATTTAACATTTTGATCAATTTGATGGTATACCTGGCTGAATGAAAATGTCGTAGTTGAAGCATAGCGGCACAAAATCACAAAGTCAAGTGTGTTTTCAAATTTTCGAACAAGCTTGGAACAGATACTGACATAAATTTCAAAGGTTTTCCAGAGGAACGTTTTCTCGAGCCCCCACCACCAGCCCTCTTTACTGTGGATATTTCGTTATACCAAAATTGGACGCCCTCTTTTAGGACCCTGGCTAAAAGTCTGAGTGCCAGTGTGGGTAGTGTCAGTAGGTAGTGTGAATAATAAGAAGGCTTCAGATGGATAGAGATACAACTACCTCAAAAACACAAGGAGAACTTCGATGAAGGGCCTTCGTTCGAATCGTCAAAGTTCTCCTTTTATTTTTCAGGTAGTTGTTTTTCGACTCAATCCGCACCTCGAATCCGGATGATTTTTCTTGAGCAAAATCTTCTACAGGAAAATAGAATTAAAAGATAGAAGCAGAATTAAAAAAAGTATGATGTCAAAAATGTTCAATGAGTCAAAAGAATGCTTTAATTACCTGACTTGTCGAGGAGTTCAAATCCATCCTAAAATTTAAGATAAAAATTACGGTTTTTTCATGAATATACTGTAGCTGACTTAGTAAGGTTCACAAGTTAGGGTGCCTTTCTCCATTAATGTCCAACTTCATAAACGTCAGGGCACGAGATTAGGGTTACCGTTAAAAAAGAGGACTTGTTGGAACGACTTGTTGCGAGTCTGTTGGCCCCGTCAACCTTGCTATAGAAGATGATAACAACTTGTTCCAGACTTTTTTTTCTGTGTTCGTGTAATGTACTCAGGTGAATATGATGCTTGTAATGTTACTCTGAGTGTATATCCACACCGGGCAAGCTTGAAAAATATGCCTGACCACGGTGGGAATCGAACCTACGACCTTTGGAATACCAGCCCAATGCTCTTCCAACTTCCCACTTGTCAACAACTGGGAACAAGCAGTGCGAAGACATCTTGTTGATAAGCTGTGAAATTTTTACGCGTGTACAGTGGTGTTGGTATGTTGTTAATATGGAGGGTCATCACGAGGCTACACGTTCAGTGACTGATTATAAGAATGAAACACAATAAAACTGAGGAAAAAATTACGGAAGCCAACCACGAAACAAGTTCACTTTAGTTTTATTGCTCACTAGAGCAGACAGTTACCTTGTCACTTGGTGATGAAAGCATTTGCGCTGTATACTCGTTCGCAGCATATTTCTTAGAACCAACAATTTCATAGTCCGTCAAGATTCCATGAAAACTAGTCACAGGTTTTGTCACTTTAGTTTCCGCTTCTGTGAGTTCTTTCTTGGGATTATCCGCTGGAGTATGACCTGCTGGCCCAGGCTCAAATGTTGAAGACCAACCGCTGACCATTCCTAACATGTTGCCACTAGGATGTGTGCTTGGGGTAGGCGTGGTTGCATGGGCCTCAGCTGGAGGGGAACCACCTTCAGACAGGAAATCAAGGAGGATGATTAGTGCAGATATATCATAACAATCACATAATGGCGGATTTACATCACACAAGTTTTGCCTAAAACTGTCGCATGCAACCAGTTTACAACTTGAGTTGCACTGTGTAAGTCAAGCACACGACTCGCTTACTTAGTATTACACCTAAATTTTCTTCTTTGACTGTTGCAATAGATGTATTTTCAACAGGAATGTCCTCAGTCTTGATGGTCTATAAAGTAGAAATCTGTTGTATCAGATAAAATGACAATAATTACTGTATGTTACGATGATAACAGTGGTAATGGATATGATGGTGGTGCCATGGTGGTTATGATGGTGGGGGTGGTTATGATGATGGTTGATGGTTATGATGATGGTTGATGGTTATGATGGTGGTTGATGGTTATGATGATGGTTGATGGTTATGATGATGGTTGATGGTTATGATGGTGGTGGTTATGAGGATGGTAGTGCCATGGTGGTTATGATGATGGGGGTGGTTATGATGATGGTTGATGGTTATGATGATGGTTGATGGTTATGATGGTGGTGGATATGATGGTGGTGCCATGGTGGTTATGATGATGATTGATGGTTATGATGGTGGTTATGATGATGGTGGTGCCATGGTGGTTATGATGATGATTGATGGTTATGATGGTGGTTATGATGATGGTGGTGCCATGGTGGTTATGATGGTGGGGGTGGTTATGATGATGGTTATGATGATGGTTGATGGTTATGATGGTGGTTATGATGATGGTGGTGGTGATGATGATGGTGGTGGTGGTGGTGATGATGGTGGTGGTGATGATGGTGGTGCCATGGTGGTTATGATGGTGGGGGTGGTTATGATGATGGTTGATGGTTATGATGATGGTGGTTATGATGGTGGTTATGATGGTGGTTATGATGGTGGTGGTGCCATGGTGGTTATGATGATGGTGGTGCCATGGTGGTTGATGGTGGGGGTGGTTATGATGATGGTGCCATGGTGGTTATGATGATGGTGGTTATGATGATGGTGGTTATGATGATGGTGGTTATGATGATGGTGGTTGATGGTGGGGGTGGTTATGATGATGGTGCCATGGTGGTTATGATGATGGTGGTTATGATGATGGTGGTTATGATGGTGGTGGTTATGATGATGGTGCCATGGTGGTTATGATGATGGTGGTGCCATGGTGGTTGATGGTGGGGGTGGTTATGATGATGGTGTGGTGATGTTAGAGATGGTGATGATAGTGGATAATGATACAGGTATACCCTAACCTTGGCGGACGGCAGTGAAATAAACTGTACCTGATCAGTGGAAGGAGTTGACGAAGTAGAGGGAGATGTAATTTCTGGATCAGTTATATGAACAGGTGGCTTTGTGCTTTTTTTGCCCGACTTTTTGCTGTGCTGTGTGGGTGTAATTTCTTTCGATGTAGATGAAATCTTAGGTGTTACTACATTACTTTGTATGGCAGCTTTTGGAACAGATAGTGGCCGAGGGTTTTGATCTAAAACATAGGAATCAAGTCTAGTTAAATAATTCCACTGCAGTGAATCAAAATGTTAAGGATGATATGAAAAAGGCATATCTAATAGAATATGGAGAAAAATTACCATATTATGGAATGAAGATATCAATATATCATTTGTAAAAGTTTCCAAAAATTTTGTTGGTCACACGTTAATTAATAATATTATATTAAATTATTATACATTGGGCTATTATTCAAATTATGGCTGTAGTAATATACCTGTTGTTCTGGTTGCCATGGTAGCAGCTGGGGCAGAAGGTGGTTCCCAGATCCCTGACAGTTGAAGAACATGCGCTGTCCATTGATTTAAGCTTGGGGTATTATAGTTGAGGTCAAAATTGAGCTCAAGCAGACCTGGAATTAAATAATAAAGTACTGTACATCAAATTCTTTTTTTCTGTGAAGGACCCTTTGGCACTAATTATACATGGAACTGCCCTTAGAGACCTTTACCAATAGGGTTGTAAAACCTGTTCAACTAAACTACTAAAATAAACTACAATTTATTTCAGTAGGAAACATAAAAAAGCACAATCCACTGCAAATTACCTAAGAAATGATTCATTATGATTGCTATAGCTTCTTCATCTCTGAGGAATGCTTTAGAAGCATAGTGATGACTAGAATTTAAAAGATAAATCAATGACATTAAGGTTTGATCCTTTAAGCACTCTCCTCTTGGCAAATAAATTGTCTAGCATTAGACAGAGTAGAATAACATGGGGCAGATATTGTTGTCTGATTAACCCATTGAATGGCAGCAGTTTTTCAAGCCTTAGTTAAAACATACTAAAGTTGAAGTGTATGAAAAGGTTTAAATCACAGTGATAGCAATGTGTGAAGTTTTGTGTTTACACAACATCTACCTGATTTTTTTCTTGTCAGAGAGAATAGCATGAAAATAACTTTCCATCAAACCATCATTCAGAGCCAATCTTAACCAGGCCTAGAAAGATGATGTGTGAACATATTAATCATCTATGATGATAAACAATTATAGTGTTTGTCAACAAATTTGAAATTTTTAAAAATCAACATTTTACAAAGTTTTCCTTACTCTACATTTTCCAACATGTGAAGTGATGTGAGATAAATGAGCCAACTGATGAAGAACATCCTTGTGAGTAAATGGATGTAGGAGATTCCAAAATTCCTTAAAAAACAAAAGCACTTGATTATTCTCTGGCATTGTTGTTGCTGCTGTTGTTCTTGTTGTTGTTGCTGCTGTTGTTGTTGCTCTTGTTGTTGTTGTTGTTGTTGTTGTTGTTGTTGCTGTTGTTGTTGTTGTTGTTGCTGTTGTTGTCATTGCTGTAGTTGCCGCTATTGTTGTTGTTGCATTGTTGTTGTTGCTGTTGTTGTTGCCGTGGTTGTTGTTGCTGCTGTTGTTGTTGTTGTTGCTACTGCTGTTGTTGTTGTTGCATTGTTGTTTTTGCTGTTGTTGTTCCTGCTGTTGTTGTTGTTGTTGTTGCATTGTTGTTGTGGCTGTTGTTGCTATTGCTGTTGTTGTTGTTGCTGTTGTTGTTCCTGCTGTTGTTGTTGCTGTTGTTGTTGTGGTTGTTGTTGTGGTTGCTGTTGTTGTTGCTGCTGTTGTCATTGCTGTTGTTGTTGTTGTTGTTGCTGCTGCAGTTGTTGTTGTTGTTGTTGTTGCTGCTGCTGCTGTTGTTGTTGTTGCTGCTGCTGTCATTACTGTTGTTGCTGCTGTTGTTGCTGTTGTTGTTGTTGCTGTTGTTGTTGCTGTTGTTGTTACTGCTGCTGCAGTTGTCGTTGTTGTTGTTGCTGCTGTTGTTGTTGTTGCTGCTGTCATTACTGTTGTTGCTGCTGTTGTTGTTGTTGCTGTTGTTGTTGCTGTTGTTGTTGTTGCTGCTGTTGTTGTTGTTGCTGTTGTTGTTGCTGTTGTTGCTGTTGTTGTTGTCATTGCTGTTGTTGCTGCTGTTGTTGTTGCTGTTGTTGTTGTTGTTGTGCTGCTGCTGTTGTTGCTGTTGTTGTTGCTGCTTTTGTTGTTGTTGTGGTGGTGTTTTCAGGGAATGTTTGTAGAGAATGCAATGAATCTGTGCTCAAACTTTCAAGATATAAATTAAAGTGAATATACTCACTGGAGAAGGCAAAGCACCAGATGAAGATTTACTAAAGAAGCTGGGTCCCTGAAGAATGAAAGAACAAATTAAATTTATAACAAAAATTTGACAATACAGGACATTTTACAACAAAAGAATTTCTTGATAAAACTTACAGACGATGCTTGGTAGCCATGCAGGAAGATTGCTTCTAATACAAATGTCAAATTCAATGCACATTCATCATTTCTAAAATAATGATTCTGTGTCACATGAAAATACAATAATTCATGATACCATGAAAACCCACTCTACATGATACTACAGTACCTGGATACATCAAATGATCCAGTGGTTAAAGCATGTTTTTGCAACTAAAATATCAACATATAATGATTTTACTCATTAAATATAGTTAATACAGTTCTTTAGGCGTAAAAAAATACCTGTGGTTCCGGTTTCATATCGCAAAAAAATTAGGGTTGGTAGGTCGGAAATAATTTTTTTTTTGAATATTTTTTTCATGGTTTTTTCAATAATTAGTGTGACAACAGACACCATTTTGGAAGCAGCCCGCAACCACCCAGACAAAATAGGGTTGCACGGTCAATCGCGTTGAAAAAATAATAGGGTCAGCAGAAAAAAATAGGGTCGGTCGGGAAGCAGAACCACAGGTATTTTTTTTACACCTTATCAATATCTTAGAACTTGTGGTGACCATGGTAGTGGTGATGATGGTGGAGATGATGGGTGGTGATGATGATGGTGATGATGGTAATGATGGTGGTGATGATGGTAGTGACGTAGACTTGTTGTGATGGATATGGTAATGTTGATGAATGGTGATGATGATGAATGGTGATGATGGATGGTGGCAATGATAGTGGTGGTATTGATGGTGATATTTATAGTGATGCTATGATAGTCATCATGATGATGATATTGATGATGATATTGGTAAAGAAGATGACCAGTGATACCTCATGACACTATGAAGTGCAACTGTTTGTAACCAGAGCTTGACCCAGGGTTTGTAGAACCAGGTTAGGTGCACTTGCACTTTGGGGTACAAACTTTTCAACCAGGGAGCAACCCAGGTTAGTTTTTGTTGTGTAAATCGGGCCATATCCAAAAGAACCAAGCACTTCTTACCTCTTTAACTATTTTAGACACTTCCTGTAACAGTTTCTCTTTAATCCTTTGAAATTTTATACTGACATTTCCTGTCAAAATGAAATATAATCTAACAAAAACGCCCATCTACCACTGATAGAAATATTGACCATTTGAGTTTTAAACTTTATATAGTGAACCTACCAGCTTTTTTCCTGCTTTGAAACATGACTAAACTTTCTTCCCCCCGTCAATACTTCTTTCCTTATATACCGGCATTTATTCAGTATATATTTTACATGTTTATACTTAATGTTATGACGAGAAATAATTGGAACAATTTGAACCACTCATTTAAAAAGCCGCCATATTGGTCTTGTATTCACGGCCGTGCTATTTAGAGACCGGGACCAAGTTAGTTCTGCACGTGCGCACTGGGTCCACAGAGTTCGTAGTCGTCAAACCAAAACGTCCCATGGGTTTGCATGGGCGTGAAGGAGTTCGTATATCTGATACAGAATCATGCTGATTTACATAAACTTTAAGTTCAATTTTCTTACGACTTTCACATCAAGACGTCTCACAAGCATTTACAATTCGGGTGGAGTCTGTATATCCGATACAACACGGCTTGACAAGTATCATATTCTGGAAACTGTGTTTGATCCTGAAAGGACTTGTGCCTGGTCCCTTAAGGCTTAACCGTGATTGTCACAAGCAATAAATTAGTGTAGCCTCCTCCGCAGGCCTCTCTATGGGTTTTAGCCTGCGAATGGGTTTTGAAAAAAAAATTTAGATGCCTGCGGAGTAGGCTATAAATTAGTGTTAGTGGTTAAATTAATCTGCAGGACAAACTTTTAGTAAATATTATATAACTGTAAACTATATAGAACTATGTTTTACAAAAGGAGAAGCATCTTGCAATGGTCTTAAGTACCTTGTCCTTTTCATTACAAAACTATATTTGGAGTGCATGTTTATATGGACACGTATTTGTAGTTATACTTGTATATACTGTATGTGTGAGTTTGTACTCAAGAAAGTTTAAAAAAATCCTGATATATACCCAAATATTATACGTATTTTAGGTATTTAATTATTGCAAACCTTTCGATCCGTAAGCCCGATATTAGCAATAAATGTACGTGGTGTTTCCGTGAACCAAAGGCAAAGCTTACTGGTATATTGTATTATCGCCATGCAGAATTACAAAGAATACAAAAGTATATGATCGTCTTCTAATAAATATGTCAGCATTTTTAATTTTTATTGAATTTTACACAATATTCACACGTAATTGACTCACATTTCTAAAAGCAAGATAACATTTCTAGCCTAATTTCAAAGATATTTTTACTTATATATTACTCTCTTCCGCATCAATTTTACACAGATATAAACAAGGTTCGAACAGGACATGAAGTAACATTCGAGTTCAATAACCTTCCTTAAAGTACTTAGTCTTGGCTGTAAACATTGAGATATCGGCTTTGGCGCCCTTTATCTCGCTACCGGACATTTTATTTTATTAGATAATATAAGACTTTATATGATCAAGAAATCGGTAACAAGATAAAGAACTCCTAAAGCCGACATTTCAATACTGAAAATGAGGGTCTACAATATGGCCAAGTCCAAGTACTTTCCGGAAGGGTGTATTAGAATGAAATGCAAAGTAGTACATGGTATTCCGGTGGTACCATGTAAGGCAAGAAAGGAACACAAACGAAAACAAGTCCCGTTCAGATAATTCGCATGAGAGTTTTCTCAATTTTCATGTCCTGGTCAAAAGGTCAAGTTGAGCTCTAATCAACTCTCATCACAAATTTGAATCAGCCCAAAATTGTGTTGAAACAAGGTCAACATGTTCATCCAACATCATTCAACATTGTTGGCAGAGGTGGAAAAGTATCGGAACCTCGAAAACTAGTTCCAAGAAATATTTTTGGGAATCTACATTTTTGCCGAAATTTTCAGACACTTTTTTATGTTTGAAAACCAATTTTGAAAATTAGACTGATTGTATATCTAAATTACGAATTACTAATTATTGAAATGATTAAATACCTAATTAATCTACTAACTCTATACCTAAATCACAGCGGAAAAGTTTCATCAAAAGTATTCATATAGCATGTTGTAGGGAATTTGTTTTTAATCCTGTAAGACTGTAACTACTAGGACTACTTCAGGATTTATCTTGTATGCCTTAGTCTTAAAGACATATTGTTTCATACGAGAACACTTTACTAGCTGATCTGCCCTTGAGCAAAAGGTCTGGAACTAGCAACAGAATAGAAATCCATTTTGCTGTTTTTAATCGCTTAGATCTTTGCTTTTTCTTTATGAAACTCGCTGAAACTTTGTAATTATGTTTAGCGAAGGGTTATACATCTACACCGTAAATTTGGTAACAAAGTAAAGTATATTTGAGGAGAAGTTTGGTAGTTTTAATCGAAAAATGGATTTTTATTTGGCAACTAGTGCCAGTCCTTTTCCGTGTTTTCAGATCACCTGGTAGACAGTCAAAAACGACAATTTTGTTATTTTTTCCTTAGTATATAATCTTTCGCAAAAAAAAACTGAGCCTTAATCCCAAGGAAGAAAAATATATTTTCCACCTCTGGAGCACATTGTTGTTGGGAAAGGAACATTACGTTTGTAAATCGATCTTTCTCCTTTCGCTGTTTTAATGAATGTCACTGCATGTTCTGCTGTTGGACAACAACAATAGTGAACTACATTTTTACAATACTATTAACTGTATGCAGAGTATCGGAGCACCAGAATTCCTATCTGAAGTTAGTTCATAAGAATATTTATGTACATATGACTGCAAAGCTGCGCTCAATAAAACAAGAGTTATCCTAATGTAGATCGATTGCTACAAATTATAGATAATCTTACTCCAGTGATAAGCTTCCTCTCAGCATATTCACAGCATATTCACAGGCTTGTATTGGTTAAGATTTTATTGGTCCAGCCATTCAGATGTAAAATATCCGTACTTTTGATGTACTCACAAGGAGGTTGCCATCAAAAAATTTCGTTTCAATTACCACATTTCCACTACAATAAATAAAAAATTAAAACCATTCATATTTCCAATTCATCTTAACCAGGAAGTGAAAAATATGTTTCATCTTGTTTCATAAAAAAATATGTTTCCTATGAAAAATATGTTTCATCCACAATGGAACATCAAGAATTTTGTGTGAATGAAACCAAATCTACTGGAAATGAAATAAAATCTACTTCTGTAAGTGGATATACAGCACACGTTTTACTGTCAGGGGTTGAAATTTTAAAAAACGTTTGTGAAATGTGAATAAAATCTGGTTGCCAAATTTAATATATCAGGTTCCCCTATATCAATGTGTATTAACAAATATATCTTTGTATATATACAGTAGATGATACAAAATTTGGCAAATCATGTGCAAAAGCAGAAGATAGCGCTCCTTTTGGCGACCTGGCGCACGCTGATGTCAACCTGTTTACTGTTTTATAGGAGTAGCTTGCCTTCTGCATGTTGGAAAGAATAGGTTAAATTAACATTTGAACAAATAAGGTTAGGTTTACTGTTGAGTCACTTTCTTTGTAACTGCAATTCTTCTTTTCATCTAAATCTTGATTATACTTTCATTTTAACTTTTCTGCAATTCCCTTTTTGGGACTAATGATCCATGCCCCCCCCCCCAATTATTAACAATGAAGGTTACTGCACTGACTTTAGTACTGATGATGGCATCATTTGGTCTTCTGGTGCAGCTTCAATTAAAGACTGCCATGTGTTTGTTGACGAAGGAATCACAAATCCAAAGTCGAAAAACCATTCTAGAAAGAAGATGGTTAATTAATGATGTGTTGTCAAAAACTACAAAAAATATTATTTCTCATGCCTGCATTGAAAATTTAAGACACACCATTCAGGGCATTATACCCCAATAATTGAGTTACACATTAGACCCCAATGATTGAGTTACACATTAGACCCCAATGATTGAGTTGCACATTAGACCCCAATGATTGAGTTACACATTGAAGTACCTTCTAAACACTTTCCCTTAAATAAGACTCTTTGCTCTAATCTAAATTGTTTCATTTCTTCATTTGATGAAAAGTTAATCTCTCTTGACACAGCTTTACACTTCAGGATTTTCTTTGGTACCCTTGCTACAGAGAAAATACAAAAAAAAAACATGTCAACAAATATTTGAAGTGATTAGCTACACTAGTACCCCACATTCTAATCAATGAAAGATAATTTTTGGAAAATAATACAAACAGGATGCCATTGGAATCTTACCTTCGTGCTCAACATCTGGTGATGACCTTAAAAGGTAAAAACAAATTTCATTTATCAGTAAAACGACAAGACAAAATCTATTTTAGATTTTGGACATTTCACAAAATACAGGGTGTGTCATTTCAGGTTGCCAAAATATTCTAACCCTTTTGTTGCTGCAAACTTTAGTACTCAAAATATTCGGATCCAGTGCTACTAACTTGCTTATGAATTCAAAGGATACCAAGTGTTTGTACAGGGTTTTAGAAATTAGATGAATTTTTTTCTGGAGTCCAATAGTGTGGTACCTGTATACAAACTGAAAATTTGGTATCCAAACTTTGGTATAAAACATGCTTTCAGTGTTAAGAGGTTTTCCATTACATGCTGTTAACTAATTGTTGAAATTTTGTAATTGTCTTCATTAATTAAACATGTGGGAGTAAAAATGGCTTAGGCAAGAATCTCTTGGGTATCCAAATTGAATACCAAAGTTTCTACATCTGGGATCCAAAATTCAAAATTGTTACTAGGATACTGCAAATTTTGAACCCTGCACTCATAGTTGGAAAAAACCTTAGCTTCTTCATTAATCAGCTATCTTTTACAGACTTTTGTCCAAAATTACATTCTCCATACTTACAAATCTTCACTGCCTTGCCATATTATTTTCCCATTATCAGCGTCTCTAAAATTGATCCAATTTCTTCACAAAGTTATGGAACAAACTATCAAAGACTCTAATCTGCTTAAAGTGTCACTACTAATCTACTTAAGGTGTCAGATTTAAGGCAGGGGTCCAGTGTAGGTAGCATTTGACAATAAGCAGACATTGTTAGATACTTCAACTAGTCGTGTATGAGAAAGTTGGTAGACATCATAGCAACTAAACAATTAATATCGTTCAAATAGTTCAGATACCAACTATGGCAGTTTTAGGCTACGTTTACACTTGTATCAGATAGCTTTCTGTAGTGATGTGAAAAACACCTATCCCTACCTTTGCACTATCTTCAACAGAATTATTGTAACAGAGAGATGTTGTTTTGCTCAGCTTCTGAAAGTTGTACATTCTGTATTGGATCTAGGTGCTTTATCATGCCACTATAAAAGCTATCCAGTATAGTATAAATGTAGCCTTATTACCCTGCACACATTTTAGAGAAACATGGCAAAATTGGTAAGACATGGTTTATATATAACGATTAATTAATGGGAAGTTTTCATCATGAAACCAAGGTGCACAGTTTGGATGTTTTCTATATATTTACTATTAAATTTTCAAAATCTCTGGTGTCTCCAAACTTGTATCCTTGTCTCATTACATCTCAAGGAATTATTGACTGCAACAGTCAACAGTCTGATAAACATTGCACCCAAAATAAAGTGAAAGCATTGTTTTTCACACAATGTTTCTTGGTTCCAAGCATTTCTGTACAAATACTCATAACCAAGCTGTATATAACCGCAATTAAACTATATACACACCTTAAAATTATACTGTATACAGAGTAACAGAACATACGGACTTTAAATATTCCTATTTTTGCAAAATTATTAAAAAATACCGTTATTAATAGATATTTTACTTCCTGCTAACTTGACGCTTGAGAAATGCATCAGTTTCTAGCTTTATATTTTAACATTTCATTGCAAGTAGAAAATGACTATGACGTCTATGCTTAAAATTAAACAAACTCTACTAATACAATGCAAGTGCCAAAGCTACAGGATATATTTCAACAATAATCAGACTAGGAAGTGTAGAACAAAAGCATGCCCGTCTCTTCCTTGGTAACAAAATGCGTCCGAACGCCATCGAAAATAAAACTCGATATACAAACCCGAAAATGCGCATTTTAAAACAAAAGGATACAGTTTGAAGCCATCCATGATCTTCTGTGCTCGTTCCATGGCTAGTACAGTTAATTTCTTTCCATGAAACGGGCGAAAAATAAATTTCTTTGTTAAAAAACCTCGCCGACCTGTTTATGTTTATAATCAAAATGGCGATTGTATGGGTGTTTGGAGGATTGCATTGGATTTAGAGGGATAGGACAGGGTATGGTGGGGGTTTCTAATGATATCGCGCGCTATTGGAGGGTATCTAGGTAGTTGGGGGAAACCATGGGATTACATGGTCGAACACATATATGGACTTTTCACCTTAGTACACCGAGCACGAGGTTCAATACTTTCCTTGAATTTTCTTGTATCTACAATAATCATTTTTATTATATAGTAGAGAGTGAGATACTGAAAAATACACAGCGAGATATTTTCCATATCTTCACTAGTAGCAGTGAAGATATCGATCACGTGACTTTAAGTATTTATACAATTTTTTGCTTGGGACAACTTGCGACTATATAATAAACAGAACATTACACGGTGGCTTGAAAATACGTCTTTTATCTTCTCGTGTTAAAAATATTTTACTCACTCGCTGTGCTCGTTCGTAACATATTCGGTTTTCACCTCTCGACGATAAAAGTCGAGATAAAAGTCATATCTTCGCGCCGCCGTGTAATATCTTCTATATCTGAACAGCTTTTCTGCAATTTTAATTTAGAAAATGCTATATTTTTATTCTTATTCTGCATTTTGTCGCCTTTGGGAAAGTGGTTTTAAAAGTAGTTGTATTTCCTGTAAAGATTGCTTTGGAACGAGGGGCATTTCACTCCAAAAAAGCGTACGGGATTTTCGGATTTTTAAAAATCCGCGGATTTTTTAGCGGATTTTTCCCGGATTTTTTAGCGGATTTTTGAAGAGAAAATCTGTTGGATTTTCCGGATTTGTTTGGATTTTCCGGATTTGTTCGGATTTTTTCCGGATTTTTGGACGAAGCGTACGGGATTTTCGGATTTTTAAAAATCCGCGGATTTTTTAGCGGATTTTCCCCGGATTTTTAGCGGATTTTTGAAGAGAAAATCTGTTGGATTTTCCGAATTTGTTCGGATTTTTTCCGGATTTTTTGACGAAGTGTACGGGATTTTTGGAGTGAAATGCCCCTCGCTTTGGAATTGGAAAGGAAGGGAAGGAAAATTAAAGCAACATCGACTGTGGAACACCAAATTAAAATAAACGTCCTTACTGCAACTAAGCCGCTTGAACCTTCGTTACTAAATATTTCGTTACATAATATTTCATTTTAAGTATGCATTGATTCTTGTAGTTTAATCAAAATTAGTCTAAATTTCATATTACATATGGAGTAGTTTACAATCAGTTATTTCCCACTAAGTATTTATAAACAGAAAGTCGGTTTATTGTGCGACGTCCACGCGATTCAAGCGTTGTAAGTGCTTGAAGATACATTGCCACCATGGCCAGTCCAATTTGTGTGAACAAATTTCCCTGGAGTTGACAGCAGTTCATAAGTATGCGCCCCAAAGTAATCTCGCTGTGCCTGAAACGATCAAGGAAATATTTTCAAACAGTGTTACTTATACTTAAACTGATGGCTGACTTAAACGATAAAACTGCAGCAATTTTAGAACTCATTTATTCCACAAAATATCCTCCTGACAGCTGGGAACTGGCTTGAATGTTAGGGGCTGCTTGTATGGTCCGCTTTGTCAACACGGGATGAAAGGTGGAATGATTTTGATGTATTGAAACAGGTCACGGATCATCAAATTTTTTTTACTTTTATAGTGTAGATTTCAAAGACTATGAGGACTGGACAAGTCCGCGCAAAGTGAGGTGAATTAATTTTGACCAGTCCAAGGACTGAATCAATTTTAGGACTGGATCAACATATTTCACCAGGTATATAGTATTATCATGTGAGCAAAATAAAGCAATATGGTTGGTTAATTTACTCATGCATTATTAATGGTTAAGATTAGGGAATGATGTTCTTACCTGAATAAGATTCGCCGGAAGTGTTTCAGACCTATAAAAAACATCAATCAAATACATCAATTAAATCCAACACTATATATTTCTAGAAATTTCGATAGCATTATCCTACCTGTATCCATCGTAGAAAGCCAAGGCCGAACTGAATGTTGGGGTAGGAATACCTAACGTCACTGCAGTGGCGACAACCTTCCTCCACGAATCCTAAACACGGAAAAATCTCTTTTTAAAACGTCTGTAAACAATATACTTCCTAATGTATAGTTATTGTATGTAATATATCATATACGAGAAAGAGTTGATTACATGTACTGTATATTGATTTTATACACAGAAACGTTTTTAGTTTGAAGTTGTTTTATGTTTTCACACAGAATTGTACCTGACATTTTTCAATCGCATTTTTGAAGAAATCATCCAGCAGAAGATTCTTAAGATGAGCATCCTTGTCGAAGGCTTCTTTAATGTTACCCAGAAACACACTAAAACATACGGCAAACACACTCATTGTCATTTCATTCGTGGGTTTGAGATCAGCTACGTACATCAATGCTCGAAATAGAGTCAAAAGTTTAGAAGTTTACAACAGTATCTAGCAGAGAAGAAAAATACTCAACAGGAAATGTGGCTGAAACACTTTTAGCAGATTGTTTTATTGTTAAAATTATTTTGAAATACACCAATACTCGACTACTTCATATACTCGACTACTCCGATAACTGACTTCTGGTATACGATAGTGCATAGTGAAATCCTCTATTGAAAGAGTATTTGTACAAAAGAACGCGTAAAGAGAAGATATGTTTTGAAGAAATATTTGAATTCTTACCTGCGAATAATGCATCCTCCCCTCCACATTAAAGCAATACCACCATAATTCAAGTTCCAGTTATACTGTTTTGCAGCTTCTCTTAGCAACATAAATCCTTGTGCGTACGATACGATCTTCGAAGCATACAGAGCCTTAACATAAAGAAAAAGTCATTGGATTTTTGCTATGGACCATGCAGATACGCTATGATGTGCGTGGTATAAAGTGAAATACAGTAAGGTGTTGTAAGGTGTATCATGAGTGCATGATATAATATGGTATGATATAATGTGGTATTATGGCATGGGTATAGTTTGGTATGATACTGTGTGGTGTGATATGGTATGGTACTATGGGACAGTATGGTATGGCATAGTATGATATGGTGTGATAGGATACATGGTGTGGTATGATATGGTATGGTAGATAGTTTAGTTATAGTAGGACCACAAGGCCGGACAGACCTTTCTAATGTGCTCAATAAATTCTTTCTTATCCCCAGAATATTTCGTCACAGCGGGCCCTTTCAACTGTTTACTGGCTTGAACCCGCTCATCTTTGAGTGAAGATAAACATCTGGCAAACACAGCTTCACCTAGCGATGATAAGAACGCAAGGAGATGAAAAGCTAGAACATTTTTTGTTTCTCTTCTCAATGTTGCCTTGCTCAGTATCTTAATAATTGTTATCATAATACAAAAATATGAGAATGACGCAAATATAATATGCAATAGATGATATCACACAATAATCAGATCATACTTGGGGTTAGCGGCACGAATTCGGTAGTGGAATATCAAGGTTACTGGTAAGAGTTCTTCCTCTTGCCAACAGAACAGTTAGCTTAAGGACTGGTTAGGGTCGGGGTTAGGGAAAGGTTCAGGAAAAATATATTATTTGAAAAAAACGTGAATATTGCACATATGTACGCATGTGTAATACTGTGTCGGATTGAAAGCCGTACCACATTGGGATCCCGTGTCGGATTAATATCCACGGTGTTAAAAATATTGTCCATATCTTACCAATGAGTGTAACAGGGATTCCTTTGTCCAAGGCTGAGATAGCTGTCCATTTTCCAGTTCCTTTCTATTAATATAGACTCTGAGTTAAATCTAAACATTAAATCTAAAATCTAAACATTATCTCAGAGTAGCAAAAAGCTGCGGGTATACGCGATACTTTTTCCACCCCTAGGTGAGCAACACATATTCCCAAAATGTTTAGGTGAAGACCATATTCCAGATTACCTGACCAGCAGAATCTCGAATCTTTGTCACCAATGCTTTTCCATCAGTATCTTTGAACGCCAAAATATCTCGAGTTATTTCAACAAGGAAAGAATCCAGTTCACCTTTGTTCCATTCCTCTAATGTCTACAAACAATTGTTGACCTTTATCAGTATATTGCAGTAAACAAAAGAAACACTTCAAAAATAAGAGACTGTCTTCCTTTCAGGCTCACCTTGCTAATTTCATCTTCACTCATTCCTAATGCACCCTTCATTAAGTGATATGCCTCGCAAATAACCTAGGAATAAAAGTAGTACATTGAAACAAAGTAGTACATAGGTGTTTAAAACTTGTAGGTGACCATGTGTCCTATTGTTTGTTCGCCTAGTGTATTTATATTATGCTATTGTTAAAACAATTCGACATGCACAGTAGTATACTGTATGTATCTATACTGAATTAAAAAAAAAAAAAAAATAAACTCAAGCAAAAACAGAAGGGCCTTCGTTAAAGTTCTGCTTGTATATTTCAGGTAGTTGTATCCGTATCCCTCTGCCGCTTTCCTTTATTATTGATTGATTGATTGATTGAGAACTTTATTAAAGTGTCATGTCTTATAGCCAAAGATCAACTTTCACTAATCGGGGACACTTAAAATTATCCTAATTACAATAATATGAAGCAATTACGTCTAGCTAATTTATCTTCAATTTATCACTACCTACACTGGTACAGACCATCTGAAATTTTAGATACCAAATTATGACGTACCTGCATATCACCATATTCAATACCATTGTGAACCATTTTTACATAGTGACCAGCACCATCTTCTCCTACCTACCAAAAAAACAAACATGAAGAATCCCAACACACATGAAATTACTGTCTATAAATGTTCAGGTAATGGTGAAGGTATTCTCCTGGTCCAAAAATCACCTAAAGTCGCTGCAGGCCAATTTAAATAGGGCCAGTACAGACAATTTAAGAAAATTTGAAGAAATGTTGGTATTGATTTTACACCAGCTTAAATGGCAATTTTTGGTACAGGAGGACAGTAAGCTTACCCAGTCACAGCATGGTTCTTTGCCAACATGAGCAGCAATTGACTGAAATATTGTCTTTATATGAGGCCTGTTGAAAATTAAATATCCATTTGAAAAGAGATGTTGATGTGTTTTAATTCTATTTGACAATATACTGTAACTGGCATAAATACTGTAACAAAAAATTATCTATAAACAAGATAAATTTTGCCTTAATTTATAATATGGTTTTAAATTGTAAAATAATTTAAATTGTTAAATTGTAAATATGGTTTTAAATTGTCTGAATTGATAATATGGTCTTAAATAATTTTATGTACTATACACACATAATAAACAAAAGCCTACTTCTCTCTTACTGCAGTTGCATTTTCTGCTTACAGTACATAATTATGAACTCTGCTCATGCAGCTTTACCATGGAATTTAACATGATGTCCACAATGCAATCCAACTGACAGGCATGGTATTACCTTATTTTTCTCTAGCTACTTACCATGCTTCAGGGGAACCACCTGGCATCAAAGATGGACCATATCGAGCACCATCTTCACCACCACTCACACCACTGCCAACAAACAGAATTCCTTTCTCCATCAAGGCTTTGCAGCGACGCTAACAGCAAGAAAATATAAATATTCTGTTTGCATGCATGATACACTATTACTGTTTACAAGACATTACAAAATTTGAGAATTATAAAATCAGTGTTGGCGACTCCACATCAACATCCTTAGCAAAACCAGGCAAGCAATATTTGCCACTTTCATATATTTCTCTTCATTATTTATTTAATTTTAATATTTATTTTTTCTTACTTGAGAATCAGTGTATTCAGAGTTTCCACCATCAATGATAATGTCACCTTTTTCTAATAATGGGACCTGTGAATATCAAGATACACAGAATTTGTATACTGTTTTAAATGGAGTCAGAACCTCAAAAGTCTGCAACATGCCACGATATTATTTTGCCACTAGCAGATTCTATTTGCATGAAACAACATTCATATTATAAAGAATATATTTGCATATCGTCATGTTCTTAATTATGGTACCAGTTGATCGATGAATGAATCCACAGCACTGCCAGCTTTAACTAACATCATAACACGTCTTGGCTTCTTCAATTTTGAAACCATTTCTTGCATGGAGTGTGCACCAATGATCTTGGTTTCTGAAAAGTGAAAAGACATGCACCTTATTATAAAATTAGGTTTTGTTGTTTATAAAAACTTTCTGCAAAGTGCTCAGGAAAACAGTTTATTCTGAAGAAACAAACAAAGATACAATGTATGGTTAAACTGACCCTTCGCTTCGTTGGCCAGGAATTTGTCAACTTTTACCACTGTTCTGTTGTAAGCACAAACCTAGTGAAAGATCACCACTATTTAACTGATATATATGGTTATTTTGAAATACTGAGTCACTAAAAACCCTGCTGCACAAAGATGCAATGCACCCTGATGCACCCTACTTTAGTATTTTACTCTGTCTAACACCAGACGATTTTACTTGTGAAGTGGAGAGTGCTGCCACTCAATGGGTTAAAAGACATATGGGGCTTGTTATGTAATCAGTTAGAGGTGTCTGCCGTAAATAAATCAGAGTTGTGTACACTTTATATATTTGACAATATGTCATCTATGGATGGTGGTCAACCTGTCTTCTATTACAAGGTATAAATAAATAGGGGAGAAATTAAAAATTATAAGGCTTTAATTTTTCCAAAAGGGTGGACAGTCTTCCCAATGATAGGGACACAACCAGAGAGAGAGGCAGGGTTGGGGGGTGAGTGCCCAGGGGAAAAGGGTGTGTGGTTACAAGAACAATTATCCGCGCATAATTGCATTTGGCATGTCTAGAGGCCCGCAGAGACTACTGCTATATCAATACGCAGTCAATGTGCAGCCTCTCATACATACATTACATCACTGTCTCTGATACCCATAGTTTCTAGTATCAATTAAAATATTTTGATACATCAGTCAATATAATTCTGACTTTGTTTTGATTTTAGAACATCATATACAGACTAATTAATCTATGCATGAGTGATTTCATAAGTTATATAACTTTGTGTAGTGACAGCTGCTGCAAATATCTAGACATATAGCTCAAACTTACAACAAATCCATGGTCATTCATGTTCAGAATAAGATTCTGCCCCTATACAAACACACGAGAATTGCAACATTATACAAAATCTCGAAAAAATCACCATTATGCAATCTACCATGAAAAAACTATAAATGCATACCATGACAGCGAGCCCAATAAGTGCAATATCGGCTCTATAAGGCAATTCAGAATAAACAAATGTGATATCTTTTAATACTAGTTTAAAATCTAAGCATTTACGTCTAATATTTCCTCAAATGCAAAAATGAAAGTTAGACAAGCATGCTATCGGAATCTAGTACACATCAAATGCTTTGCAAATATCTTTCAATCGCAAACGGAGATAAAATACAATAATACTTACTGTCCTTCTTTAGCCATTATTCTTGCTGGAAGAAGTTTGTTTTGAACAGGGTATAAGGAGAAAAGTCTGAACAACAACTGCGATCAAGATGGAAATAATTCCAGCTCGCGAACTCAAAGCAGGAATTAGTTGTGGCAAAGTATTCCACTTTCTACTTCCGTTCTTCCGTTCAGAGCCAAACACTTCCGCATTGTTAAGAGACTGGGACAGAATCACAGAATAGACCTTATCGCGGGCTCGAGGTACGAAATTCACCTTTTATGACCTTTTTTATCATGACGTCAAACGCGGAACAACAATACACCCTTCCCAGCTGGGGAAGAGGTTGCACCCTTTTGGAGGGTGTTGGGATTGGCCCTCTGGTCTTGGCCATAGCTGCGTTCCGTAATGCAAGTCGTTGCTGAGCCAATCAAGTTTACATATAACATCATTTGAATTGCGAAATGTCATACCTATTATAGTTCAATGATGTTAGAGCAAAAATTGTTCCTTTTTTGGACATCACATGAACTTTTTCCGCGATTGACGTCACTGATATGAAAAAGGTATATGACGTGTACGAAGGTTTGACAAAAGTCGATTTTTTATCTCATCATATGTTGCGGTTTTCGAACATTCCCCGTGACCAAATTGCGCAGACTTGTTGGGAAATTTCCCATTTGCTGACACAAAAGCAAATTAGCTTTGATATATTAATTGTATCGTAGTCTAGTTACTGTATATTGTTATTTCGTGAAATAAAACGTCGAAAATCATTCACAGGGCGCTTTGCCGTTAACGTACCACGGCCAGACCGGTCAGAACGGTCAAATTGTTGAATGGAACACAAAACGTTTGGGCTTGGGACCTACCTGACCGGAAAATTTAGATAGAATTAGAATGAGGTCCATTTTCGCTAGATATTTGAGAAACATAAACCAGATCTTTCCATTGATGATCATTGAAACAGAGACAAAAATTCGGGTCTGCCGGTCAGGCCATTAAGGTTACAGGACACCCTTTTTGGCGTTTTGTGGAAAATCGCTACTGCGCGCTCAAAATCAGTCCGATTTTCATCAAATTTTCACCAAATGTTAGCCAGTGCATGCAAATATGATAAAGTTGTAAAATTGACAAACAATAAAATAATGTAAGAATTATTCAGGAAAATCTTAAGTCGCGGTACCTTTACGCTTTTGAGTTATGTTCCTGCTGGTTTTAAGATATATTTATGAAAATATCATTTTTATACAGTAAAATAGTTGTTCTAAAAAATTGTGTTCGGAAATTTTTGTTTATTTCGTCATTCCGCTGATATGGCGATTTCTTTGACGACTGCAATATATTTCTGAATCGTTTGCGTGAATTGCTCCTTATTATTAAAATATCCAAAATTAGAACAAAACCGAACACAATTTTGAAACTGATGTCTTTAGCTATGTCCTGTGAAAATTTGAGAAAAATTCCTTAAAACCCGCAGGAGCACAACTCGTTTAAAAATCAGTAATTGCCGTAAAATTCTTCCGGAGAAAATTGAATTTGAATATTACATTTTCAATGTTTTTCTTATTACAATCGAAATGTATTTTATTAATTAAATAACTCTGCGAGTTTTCAACATTTTTCGTCCAAACTTGGTCAGATAGTAGAACTAGTCTAATGCTTTCAGGTGTTCTGTAACCTTAAAAGGAAAGCGCCCCCAATGTTTCGTCAATCAGACGAAGTGTGAAAAGGCACAAAGGAATTTTTAGCTTTTAGTTTACTATTAAAGCTCGTATAATATTTCAAAATACACAAACCAAAATAACGTATATACCATGATAAAAATAAATATATCTTATTAAATATACAATATAAAATTATGCTTAGATTATTTCTATATACAATGTACAATACATTCAATTTCCATTTAAAAGTTTTTTTCTGTTTCTCAAAGTTGTCGCTTTTAAAGCAATCTCTAAAAGTTCAATTTAAAAGGGTGTAATTTACACTTGGTGTAATTACCCTATGAAAGAAAATTGTCAAAAATCCATTATTATTTTCGCGTTGTTTCCTTGTTCTTCTTTTCAGCAAATTGGATCACAGATGTAGCTCGCATCACAGCATCGTCTCCAGTGCTTAGCCTGCGACTGGGTGGATGCGGGTTGTGTATGGCTGGTGACGAGACGGGCGTCGACATACCGCTTCCGTTCATCGATTCTGGTTGTTGATTCCGTTGATCTCTCTTGATGCCAGAAATATTAGCGTATTTATGAGTCTGTACGTGAATTTTTAAGTCCGGATATTTGGAAAATGTTTGGCTACAAAACGGACACGGTATGGCGTTACGTTCCACGTTGTGGCGTAGTTTTTGAATTTGCGTCAGAAACGAGGATCTCGTGGAATCCAGCGATATGAATTCTCGAGAATCGTTCGCCTCAACAGTTGTTGTCTCTTGGCCATTTTTAGAAACTGACGCATCGCCGTGCGCACTGTGACGCATGGATTCCGCTTCGCCCACTCGCGTTAAATTATTCTCTAAATCCTCTGGATTAATTCTCATCTCCTCATGAGGTTTGAATCTAAACAAATGTTTTGACATATCATTAGAAGTTGTATTGAAATTAAAGTCCAATCGTCTCGGTACGTCCTTTGTAATTCCATTTAATGAAGATGGGTTTTGCTTGAAAGATGGATTACAATATATTGATTTGTCCCCAAAATAGAAAGGCTGCTTGAATTCGTTGAACAATCCGTTTCTTTTGTAAATAGTTTCGGTTTCGTGTGATTTAAACCGCTTTCCCTTACCATCCCATAACCCCGAAACAAACTTTTCAGATGTCAACGATTGAAGTTTACGCTTTTCGCCAACTTTCAAATTGTCCAGTAATCCATTGTGGCTCGTGTGACGAGTCACAGGTACAAACGCAGATTTAAGGGTACCATTTTCGTGACCAGTATCATCGCCTGTCGTTTGAATGCTTCGTGTTTTAAATCCTTTCGTTACGCTAGTATTAACGCCATGTACCATGCTGAATGAACTAACTTCGCGATTTTCCGTAGACTGTTCGGAGTTGGTTTTCCTGTGTTCGTTTGTCATTCGGGAAGGCTTCGGCAGGATATTTTTATCTGTCTCAGACTGTTTGGAATATTCACTATCAAAGTGACCACAACTTGACCCAAAATTCCGATCTAAGATCCCTGATAGCCGATAGTAAGGACAAGTACCACTAAATACTACAGACTGCCAGTAGAGATTGTTTAATATCGCCGTTTTGAAGTCCTTGCAAAATTTACCCGTTGCTATGGATTCGATGGCGTGAGCGGATGACGGTGTAGTGTCCTCTGAGATATCTTGTAGTACAGAACAGGAGTTGTGTGTTTCTGGCTTGTCAGAAATTCTTTGCTCGGTACTAGAATTCCTCCTATAGTAATAGTCTTTGTTAAACGCCCTCTTTGAGGGCGGAGGCGGATATGACGTAATTATATCCACTGGCTTGATGAAATTAGATTGCTGACGTTGGGTTCCGCCAGGCGTAGATGCTCTTCCTAGATACAACATCATGTCCCTAGGCAACTGATGACGCGATTTTGGACAAGGAAAACTTGATGTATGCAACAGTTTGCGTGTTGAAAAGCTTATATAATAGTTAAAATACTCTTTCTAACTCGTAAACGGTCACAAAACGCATCGGTAACTTACTCTGTCATGACATGTTTTTCAGTCAGTCTCGTAAATAGGTAGTGTTCTCTGGGATTCGAGCGGAGTTAAAGGAAATAGATTCTTCGAGTGTAAAATATTTCTCGATTATTCTACGCGTGCCACAACACGGATTTGGATGACCTGTCAGGAAACGGAAATCGTTGGTTAGTTACACCACAAATTATGAAAGGAGTTTATTCGGTCAAACGTGACGAGAAACTCACAGAACTACAGGAACAGGCCAAATGCATGAACATTTGTCATGTGATATAATTTTTACAGTGTATATAGAAATATTATACATACGGTCTTGTGTCTATGATGTAACTACTTAAAAATCAAGAAAAAACTACAATTTGGACTATACTACGACTACGAGTATTCCTAATTTAATTTAAATTAATAATGTAAAATCTTATCAATGTTTTGTTGTCTTGTTTTAATTACTTTATTACAGTTTACAGATGACAGGTGACCCCTAATAATTCGACTGATAATAATTATCATAATAAAGTATTCTTTTGAAAAGGCATTATATGCTTACGAATATGAGAACATATGTACAAATCACTGATGTACGAATGTAAGTTTTAGAATGGCAGAAGTAATAATATTAAAAGTATTCTCCACTTTTTGGATTAACAGATGAACGTACTGTCTTTGAGCTTTGATGTTGACCTGTTCTATTACTAAACTGATACTAAAAAAAACAAGCTCAGACAACGTCTCAAGGAGTCAAGGTTTTCAGTTGGGAAGAATGATTTGTAAATCGCTTGCAATTGTAACAAATAAAACAATAATTGAGCTAATTATCAGTCATCAGTGGTTATAGTCATAGCTGATGCTTCGCAACTGGGCTCTGTATGGCCGCAAGTTCGATTCCTACTGGAGAGCCTAAATAATAAATTTTCGCAGCTGTTCCCGGTTTGGTTTTTGAAATTGTATATAAACTTACATTCGAAAATTCCATCTATACTGCATCCCCATCTACATTACTAGTGTGAAATGGTTAGCGCATATTCATTAGTCATGATAGTCACCAATTAAACACCAATTTTATTTAAAAATTCTTAATAACGACTAGGTATATCCGAGCAGACTATATCTGATGGAAGACACTTTAAATTTATTTTGACTTGCTAATGCATTACGTACCTTATCGACGAATCGCCCACAAAAAGTGAACAAGTTTCACTCGATGCTAGGGAACAACCACTGTTGTAGAAACGTTGTCCTATTAAACGTTTAACCACACAATTACACACTCTGTACTTTTAATAAATTTAAGAGTCACCTAGAACCACAGTCTAGAACTCAGCGTGAGAACTTGAACTATTAACGACTTATTAACCTTTTAAAATTTTTGGGTAGCTCTAATTAACGTGGTTTAATACCGGAAATCCTACGGAAACCCTGCACCTTGAGTAGTTATGGATGGATTCCAAAAACGTCCTAAATGCAAATGGAATTTTCTTGAGCGGAATTTTCGTGCACATTTACACCTTTTAACCTTTCACTGTTATAGGAAATTAGGACAAGCGGACAAGCCCTTGATTCCATGAAAGATGATCCAATCTGGAATGTGTAACAGAGATTATTAGTCTTATCAAGCTATAATAAATCTGATTTTATTTACTCATATTCAAATAATTCAATGTATTGTTCAACGTATCGATTATCAGTGGTTCCCATAATTGACAGACTTTCACTGTTAATTTTTTCAAACCTTTAATTGTATTTTGCCTCTAGAATTATGTTCGGCGATTAGACTTCAATGTTGTTGGAATTTTGTTACTAATTTTAAATATAGCTTTGTTAATTTATAAAGGGTGATCATTTTCTTCACTGATATTGCTTTACTGCAATAGGAAAAAGTGACGTAGACTCTTAATGATACGCGGATCTTTTATGAAAAAGGTTCACTCGTTCAGATGAAAATCGTGAGTTTGGGAAGGGATATATGTAGAAACACCTAGTCAAGTCGGGAAGTTTGGACCTTTGAATTTATTAACTGTCTCAAAGTCTGAACAACGGCTGAACACTGCCGTATATATGAATGAAAAACATACAATATACACCCATCCGGCAAGTACGTACGTCACCTTACTCTTAGCTATAGAACCTTGTTTTCGAGTACGTGGTATTCGTTGAAGCCAATCGTAACTACTATTATCGTGTTGCAAAAGTTCTCGATACCTAACGTGGGCGAAAATAACAATACAATTTAATTTCAGTACTGACAAACTGGAAAGTTGAGATGGCTCTAGTAAGATTGTAGTACAGGGGTGATTATACACACGTAAAAATCATCTTACAACTTGTCAAAAAGATGTGTTCGCAACAGGCTTAATTGCTACAAGCTTGTCACTTACAACTTGTTGACAAATTGTTGAATTGCAGGACGATAACAAGTTGTTGGAACAACTTGAAACAAGTCTGTTGAGCTGAACAACCGTTTTGTACTTGTCAACAAGCTTGATATAAGCAGTGGTTTCACAAGTGTTGGAATAGCATTGCTACAACTCTGCTGCATATATATGTAAGAAAAATAGAGAACTGCTGATAATTTTGAACAAGGAGAACAGACTATGAGGCCGTGTCATATTGGATAAGCTAAGGGGATACGGAGTATGTTCCCCAGGAGAATTAAATTTTACTGTGAAGTTCAGAATGGCCATTTCCGTCGTTTTCAGAATGGGATTTGGTTTTGTTTCTGCTTTAAAGCTCTGCGTGTGCTTCAGTATAGGATAATACTAATGATGATATAATATTTTATAATAGTATAATAATGTATAGTTGCTTAAATCTGCAATTTAATATAGACTACTCAGACATGTTTTGGCTCCAAAGACCAAACTCATTAATTTAGAACTATAGCGGTAGAACTGCATCCTTTTGGAAAATGGGAAGCTTTATACAAATTATAGGATGAGTTCTGAATCATTGTAGCACGTACATGCAGAAAAAGTTTCTTTGTCCTTTGACTTACTCACATGATCCAGTTAGCTCTCAAAGTATTTCCCTCGAGTGTCTTTCAATTTCCTTTTCCGTTTACGACACTTCCGAGCGCGACAAGTGTTTCAAACACTCATTAATAATTCATAAGCTTATTGGCAAATCATGTCAACCATTTATATGTCACGTGAAGAGGTCTTATATCATAATATGTCATGTGAAGTGGCTTCATTAGTATTCTTAATATAAAAATCCATCCTAATTAGTGTTCTTTATATAAAGAACACTAATGAGACGGCATCTATTGTAGTCGTGTTTAAGGCCCTGTTACACGGTGCAATTTTTCATGCAACTTGTCTCGCAATGTTTAAAAAAAGATGCATTGCAGGAGGTGTTAAGGCCATGTGTTACACGGTGCAATTTTTCTTGCAACTTGCAATGCAATTCTACTCTTGAGAGATGTTAATTAGTGAAATCAGTGAAGAATTTTCGATATGTTGAGAAAACATCAGCGGAGTGTAATGAAGACTCGTATTTGGCAATTTTACATCATTTTACATCATTTTACAAGAGTAGAATTGCATTGCAAGTTGCAAGAAAAATTGCACCGTGTAACATGCATGACCTTTTAAGGAAACTGTAATGTTTTCCCATAACACTCAGCAGAGTACTTGAAAGTATACTAAAACACTCCCACCCGTGTTTTAAATAGTACTTCATCGACTTTTATCCATGTAGCGCGTCACGTCGCAAATAATGCATGTATAAACATGCTGCATCGATTAAATAAGATCAATTTGGTCTTAATCGATGCAGCATGTTACATGCATTTCCTGACCAATAAAAACGTCGTCCAACTTTCTCGAATAAAAATTAATGTGTTAATGATAAATTTCTTTCATCACTTTATTGTGGGGGTCCTCAAGGGTAGGTATAGATCTCATTTCCAAGACATGTTTTTAACCAAATCCCTGCAGTTCATCAGTAACTTAAAAGAATGACACCGATCAGGTGTTTCGCATATGTGCATGTCATGACTTTTAAAAACACAATATTCTGCTTTCAATAGCTCTCTTTAGAAATCACTCACGAAGTAAGTCTATTCCTACAGATAGCCGTCCTGCAAAGAATAAAGAAAATGTTGCCATTCTGCACAAAATCCTTTATTCTGCCTCATTTCAATTACTGCTCTGAGGTATGGAACATTTGCAATGCACAAAACATCGCTAAGCTAGAAAAAGTCAACGAAAGAGCCTTGCGATTTTTTTAACGAAAAGTCTACATCATATGAAATACTCTTGCAATAATGCAATGTCTGAATCTAAGGACCTTAGTCTTACTGAACAGCAACGCAAATTTAAGATTCTAATCTCAACTTTTAATTTAGTCAACACAGAATCAAACAGTGAAAATATGAATTCTTACGACTTAACTTAAAGAAGACAAACTCTTTAAGGGTTCCAAAGGTCAAGACGACAACATATGGACAGAAATCATGGAGGTTTACAGCGGCGAAACTTTGGAACAATCTGCCAGATGAACTGAGGCAGACAAAGGACATAGTAACATTCAAAAACTTATTAGCTAATATAAAAGAACTATAGTGCATAGATACAGTTTTATAACGTTTTATCAAATAGAATATTATAGAATAATTTTAATTAATGTAAATTTAGTAATACGTCTTAGTGCTAAGTGCATTGACCACGTCAAATAAATTGTATTGTATACGTTGTCGTTGTGGATTTTAAGGAGTTGGGTCAACTCCAAAAGTGTTACCAAGTAAATCACTGACTTGCAATAGAAAAATAAGCCCTCGAGCCGGAAAGGGGTGGCGTGTTGACTTCCGGGACATTTTTAGACAAACTCTCAACTATATCTGAAAAATTTCTCCGTAGCTTTCCTTGAAGATATTTCAACTCTGAATTGTCCAACTACAACCACACACCCCTAGCATAAAACTTGTAAAGACTAAGGGATCGATAGGACATGCTTTCACAGTTTGCATTCATACTGAAAATTAAAATCAAGTGAGCTTGTACCCTTGTACCCTTTTGTTCTACACGAGATTCCCGTTCTCCATCGAGCTCACCTTAGAACACCCCTAGCATGAAATTTGTAAAGACTAAGGGATCGATAGGACATGCTTTCACAGTTTGCATTCATCCTGAAAATCAAAAGCAAGCATTCCCGACGAAATTGCCCAGACTTGTTGAAAAATTTCCCATTTGCTGACACAAAAGCAACTGATTAGCTTTGATTAATTATATTGTAGTCTAGTTAGATTTTTATTTCATGAAATAAAATGTCAAAAACGATTCACAGACGAAGTGTGAAAGGGCACAATGAAATTTTTAGCTTTAAATTTTGTGAAACTTAATAAAGCTCGTATAATATTTCGAAATACACAAACCAAAATAACGTATATATACCATGATAAAAAATCAAATAAAAATCAAGTGAGCTTGTACCCTTTGGTTCTATACATGAGATTCCCGTTCTCTCTCATTGAGCTCAGCTTAGAACACCAGCGTTATCATTTGACAGTCGTGCCGCCCAGGGACGCCGGAACGATAAAAAGGCAAAGGGGGGCAAACGCACACCAAAGGGGCACCTCTATAGATCCCAGTGAAGATATAAACCTACAATAATGTGTTGCCAATGAAAGCAAGCGCACTTAATCAGGTCACATTCAAGATCACACCTCATGATTTTGCCCAAAAAGCATCACTGGAAATGTGATTTATCAGGTAGTATTTTACAACTCAAAGGGCACTTCTGCCCCCCCCCCTTGCCCCTCCTAGCAAAAGGCAAGAGGGGCCTCCCAGTTCCGGCGTCCCTGGTGCTGCCCCAGCCAAACGTATCTTCGGCTCGGATGGACCGGCAGAAGAGTGATATTAATGCTAAACAGTGGACGTTGAGGTCTTATATTCGGCTACAACTGTCTTTATAATAGTACTTAGGTTTTCCCATTCCCATTTTTGTGTCTGTTATTCCCAGTAACACAAATTTATCCCATTTTCCCACACCAAAAATACGCAAATCTCAGTTCCCATGCATTGTGACCCTTCAATTCAGGACGCTCATTCGACATTAGTCGCGCAAAACAATTTCATGTCATGGACTGATCGAAAACTATCGCAGCAGCATCTAGCAACTCTAGGACATATATATAGTTAATGAGTGGGTTTGGTTTCCTTTATTATTTCCCACCGGATAGACAAATATAGCACTGTCATTACGTTCATACTAGGCGGCATATTTAAGTCATATATAAGTGGAATAACTTCAACACAGGAAAATTATCATCAATATTTGGATCTTGGTTGCGACCGCAAAGTAGATCAAAAACTGCGAATATTATATATACACCGGCAGTGCCTGTGAAACAGCGTAAATAAAATTTGAAAGTTTCGGATTGATAGGGACACCCTGTACCTGAAAAATACAACTGAGGAGAACGTCGAAGTTCTCCTTGTATTTTTCAGGTAGTTGCATCCCTGTCCATCCGAAACTTTTTTATTAATTATTATTACCACTATACCTACACTAACACAGACCGTTCTGAATAAAATTTGTATTGACATGGTGTTTTTTACAGAATGATTGTTTTTTCTACTTTATAACAACTTTTTTTTCTAATTATAAAAACTTCTTTCTTTGGTTCTCTTAATCAGAATATGAACGACACAACCTTGCAAGCCAATCATGGGAAAGCGGAGATGAAGCCGGCCTGACTTGCGAGGTTGTGAATGAAAATAAGGGGTGGACCATAACTATATATACATACCATAACATAAACGGGAGAAGGGAAACTTTGCTTGTAGTGTGGCGGATATATGCATGGATGTTTCCGAAGAGGGTTAAAAGCACCAAATTGTGCACAGTAGCATCTTTTTATGAGTAGAACAACATGCAAAAGTGGGGCCATCGTGAAACTGTTTTTTTTATAGAGCTACGATGCTATTAGCATTATTTGCTATTAAATTCTACTACAACAAAAAATGTGAAATTTTGAATTCAATCGCGACAAATATAACTTGCATCATCAGACTGCTTGTAAAAAACTACATAAAAGACTTTTAAACAGTTTTTTATTCTTCAGATGGTTATTGCTGTAAATTAGGCACATTATCTCACTAAAAGTCCCTAATTAATTATTCGATGTTTGGAAATGCGTTTTTAACAGTTTATAATTCGAAAACTATTTCAGAAATCCAAAAAACTGTCTAAACTGTCTATGCAGTTTTTTATAAGCTTTCTGATGATGCAAGTCATATTTGTTGTAATTGAATACAACATTTCACATTTTTTGGCTATAATAGAATTCAATAGAAGAAACTCACTAATCACCCGTTTTCAGGAGTTAGCAGCAAAATAGCGATGGCCCCACTTCAAATATCTATTAAGCAAATAAAACTATATCAATTGTAAAAGTTTGATGCTTTTAGTTTTAACCTCAACGGGAACTATTGATCGATAATTTTACACATATCCGCCTCACTATTGCAAGATTTTGAGCTATCAAGTTCGGTAACTTTTTTACGGTGTAAAAGCTATATGTAGGAATTTTTTAATGAATTTACTGCACATTTCATGTAGTTGCAGGGTTTTTTTTCTTTCCCATAAATGCTTGCTTTATTTTTGTTCAAATTCCACTCTTTGCATGACATTTTTGGGGGGGATCTGCCACCGCCCCACTCTCCTTCCAGTGGTCCACCCCTAAACCAGATACAAGCCAAACTATTTATCTGTTCTTATAGTAATATAGTGTATATTCTTCTCTTATATATACATGTTTTGTGATATCATCAATTTCGCAATTATTTGATTTGTGCACAAATTCTATTATACCAAATACGTATAGTTAACGTTTTATCTCATGCAGTTAATTTAAACTTTATCAATACAAATAAATTCTTATGAAATCTACCACAAATCTACAAATTTTTACAGATGAGTTAATGGGAGTTTAAGCTTCGCGTAAGGGCAACGTAAAACGGCAGGAACAATGTTTTCGGCCGAATCTTCGTTTAACTTCTTCGCTTCATATTTTCTTCCTTATATCAAAACGTCATTCTACTGCATTTGCAGTTTTAAATAACAAGCTCATTTGCTCTCTATTGCCTTAAGTCTGGTTCACACAATCAAAGTTTGTGTAATCAGGCCTTGCATGAGTGAATTCTGAGTTTTGAAGGATTTGTAAGAACAGACTTAATAATAAACATCAAGTTAGTTCCCTCAAACATTTCTTACAAATCCTAGTTCAAAACTTAGAATTTACAGATGCAAAATTCCTACTGTGATCCCAGAAACTTTGATAGTGTAAACCAGGCTTTTAATATAGGGTGAAATTTTTCTTTGCGCGCGGAGTTGCTCGTTTGACTTATATGAACGCGAAGATTAAACTCTCTACTATAGTTCCATCTAGGAACAAAAGAATACGCTATGTTTATATAAGTAAGATTAAAGTACGATACAGTTCTAACTACAACTTGGAAATGAAAACATTATCTCCATTATACATAGACATGGTCATGTTGGTTTTGCTCATCTGTAGAATCCTTCTGTCTCACAGTAGTGTCAGTCAAAGTGGGCGCACTGTCAGTAAAAGTGTCTTTTCTGTTAATATGCACTGACGTACAACAATGGACGAACTCATGTATTCTTGTGTCGCCTTTCTTTGGCTGAGATACTGTATACGCCATTGTGATGGCGAGTCCCAGTTCTATCAACCGAAACATGGTAATGTACACCCACCATGGCCAAGGGTCTGGGTGCTTTGGTCCCTCGGCGCGGACCTTGAACACGGCCGCCATTGCGTAGATCTGTATTGCTGCACACGCCACCCCGAGACACGCTGTTGCCATAGTAACACGAGCAACTTTATTTGTATTGCTTTCCTTGTTTGAATATTTTACGGATGCTGTTTTGTCGCCTTTCGCAACAGCAGTCGAACGAACACTGATCCGTTTTAACGTACGTCTGTGTGTCTTCGATTCCTTCATGACGTGAAAACCGCTGTAAAACACGCTCACGGACACGGACAATGCACAGACGATGAAATACATCATGCATATTATAACCAGAACACTTGTATTCTTAACGTACGATGTGACGATCTCGGCGACCAAAACCAGCACGACATGAATGCCAATTACCCCGAGAATGAACCGCAAACTTTGAATCCGTCGTTTGGAAAAAGTCACTTTAGCCGCTTCCAGGAAAGCATAGTGAATCAACGTGAAGCCCGCGATGAGACATGGGAAGCCTATACCAAACAGTAATCTCTCCAAGACCACTGGAGTTCCCCCTGCATTATCAACAAGTTCGTAAGGGTATAGAAACATCGCCAGAGCTCTTGTGATGCCAAATGTAATAAGCAAGCAATTCACAGCGTAGCAAAAACGGCGTGTCACAAGAAGCGTTGTGTTACGAGCGCGAATTAAAGCCAAAATAGACCAAATTGCTAGTAGTAAGAACAACACACCAAAACCAATATAATGTAGTTCCCAAGCCCCTTTCCATACATCTCTCGCAGCGGGCCATTCGGGAACTGGTTCAGCATTTGGAGCCCCGTAGGGAAAGGGTTCCGTCTCGGGCTCAGTTGTAGGTTCTGGTGTCGTATAATTTGTAGGTTCCGGCTCGTGTTCTGCTCGTGGAAATCTCATTGTTGTTGTCTCTTTGATTAAAACTATTTTTCCGTTTTGTGTTTTAATTAATAAGAATGTTTATCGACTTCTTCTGTTTGTTCTGCTTTTATTTACTTTCCATACACCTGCATACACGTTGATAATGGATAATCGAACGTATGGTACAAAAAATCAGTTCGCCGCGAAAAAATACAAACGTTAAAAAAAGTTAATTGCACTTTCGTCCTTGATTAACAGTGGTTTGATTTAATTGACCACGTTTTTCGGAATGGTAGGATGGCAAAATATTCCTCAACAGGTGTATTAATGAATGCTCTTTTTTTTCGGTATACTTACACTATCCAGATATGCACAGCACGTTCAGTTTATCCTTTTCCACTGATAAGTGAACTCGGGGAATTGTTGTCCCTACGATGATAGCTTCAGAATTTTTGATAAGGATTTTTTCAACTTATTTATTCGGCAGTATTGACACTAGATAAGAATCAATAAGTGCACAGTCAAAATTTATCAGTGTTTTGATAATTCAACGTTTGGATCACACTACTTCAAAGCAATATTAGTTTTAAGACTTAAGTGTCGGGGAATCCTTCAATAGTTGCCAACAGTTCCTTTTTAAGTAAGGGATAATTTTATACGGAAATAACGCAAAATATTCAACGGATGTCTGCAATATTTACGATTTAGGAATGTTTTATACTCCAAAGGTTAAATAATTTAGCATAGTGCCATCATGCAATTAATAAGGCTTTAAATAGAAAATTTGTCAAATATTCAAAAATCTAAATTACATTTATTTATGGCTACTTGAATTCATGACAGAGTAAATTATAAGTTCTACTCCCCCATCAACCAACCATCAGCCCATGTGAAGCTAGTTAAAGCCTGCGTGGCTATCGACAAGCTCGAACAAGGTTGTGCGCACCATCAGAACAAGTTGTCAACAATATTGTTACGGCATTGTTCAATTGTAATATTGCTGTAACAACTAACAACATCATTGAAAACTTGTTCTGAGGGTGAATGACATCCTTGTCCAAGCCTGTCGATACCAACCCAAAACAGGTTCAGGTTCATTTTAACGCGTGTGTGGTTTACACATGAACGGCGCATCTGCAACATTGATGAATCTTTTATATAACCTAAATCTCGAGCTAAATAATTCAGCACTAACGGTATTGTACCAGATTAAATTTATGCCAAAAAATGTCAATATTGCTACTTAAATTAGACTGAAATACTTCCTTTCACTTTGTCAGTCGGGAATATTTATACCGAGGAACAAACCATCAAGGCGCGCAGCAAGTAGTAATGGACTGCCGCCGTTTGCTTATGTGCACAGACATGTCTGTGCACATATTATCACGACTATGCCTATGGCTCTGCCACAAAATAAGTTGTCTATACAGTACCAGTTAAGGCATAGACATAGTTGCCATCCAGGTCAGTGTCAAGCCTTCGTTTGTTCATACACCGAGAACGGGTCAGGTATTAATTGGGACGAACGTCTTGTCCCATATCCCAGTCACGCAGGCTGTCTCGTGACATGGTATGTATGTATATCAGTGTCAGTGTAAACATTTATGACGAATTTAATAATAAACTCTCCCGCATCCTGCTACAGACTCCAGCACAACTCTGTCTTCTACAGCATTCGGCTGCAGCATTTCCAAATTCTTCAACATTATCACACAATTATCCAGCATATATTATAAATATTAGCAAGTTCTTGCCAGTTTGAATTACCGATCTGGCTATTTGAAGAACAGAAAACGAGTATTTTGGTGTCATATGGACAGCGAGAGAAAACAGCCAAAGTGTATCAGATATCGAAAATGTAATAGGTCGTTTAACACAATTATGCTTCTTGAAGTGCATTTTGATTTATAGGTACATTTACAGCCTTATTTTTCAGGTATTGGTGTCATTAGCATGCGAGGTTATTCTAGGCAGGTTCTTTGGGTTTTGGATCTACCCAAAACCTGAACTGCATCTGGCAATTTTTCCATGAAAGTTGGTAACTATATGCGTTAAAGCTTTAATAGAAAACATGGCAAATATTGCAACATAAATTAAACTGGGACTTACTTTTCAATTCCGTAATGCACTAATGCCGGTGTTTACAAAGGATCTCAATTGATACGTTGTACAATAACTTCAATGTCTCTGCGTAGTTCACAAGAAGATAATAGTGTACTACGACCAAAATTAGTCTGGAACAATGTCCTTCCGAACCAGGAAGTGTTTAACACAGCAGCAACCTGCAATTCAATACAGCACTGAGGGTTCTTTCTGGAATGACGGAATAGCGTCCAAACTTGAGCTCAAATTTGTATTGTTCCCAAGCTCAATATAAATCAAGAATTTGTTAATTTGCAGGTATCACCGTCCAAACCACTCATTCGCCTTCCGATCCAAATCAGTGTTTACGTTGTGGAATGTGGGCGCAGGAATGAAGGATCAATTTCAATAATATATGTTTACTAAACGCACGGTATTATATTACTATTCAGTAAACTTAATTGGAAATTGAAAAATTGTCAACAGCCACGGTTGCACTTCCCAGATGTAGTGAAAGCACAGATTTCTATAAACAAAAAATAAATCAGTTCTCCTATCTCTTACGTCGATATAATGAAAGATTCATTATAATTTGCATTCACACGAGGCGCACTGGCCACTGCATCAATATTAATGTTGGATTTATGTCAAAACTACAAGAAGGATCTAACCTAGTGTGCATATTTATATTATAAAAACGTCATGTTTACGGATAACGATTTCGGAAGAATTCCTTTAATCGCAGATTAGATGTTCTGCATGTGCTCTCGATATAATTTTCTGTATAAAATTTTCGACTTTATACACAGTTTAGTATTTAGGTATCTTTTAGATACCACCTGACTTTGTGAAAAGGTTGATTAAAATGTGCTGATGTACACTCACAGCAAGGTAGACATAGACATAACCATAGGGGGGACGGAACAGCAACGCAAAAAATTAAAGGGTCGATAAGTTGGGCAAATGTTATACGTAAGCTGGGCAAAAATAAGCGGAAATAAATGGAAAGAAAAGGAAAAATAACAAAAACAATCCAATATGTATAATGACATCATCACAATTATCTATATATAATTTGAATAGTGACTTTTTTAGTACTGAGCTAATTTGCGAGTATATCACATGGAAGAGGTTATTTTATATTTTTTACACGCCCCCTGTGGGAATCAGCTTCGGTTGACAGGGTTAGCGTGCATGGATAAATAAAGTTTTTCTATCTATCTATCTGTTTCGCTGGCCTCAGAATGACACGACGTAACAAAGCATCGGTTTTACTAACACTAACCCTATTCCAAACACTAACTCTAACCCTAACCTAACCCTACTCCAAGTTTGTTTCTAAACCAATCTTGACGAAAAAAATTTTGACGAAATGTCATTCTGAGGTCAGCGAATATAACTTCTTTCGTATTACATATAGATGTATGATCAAAACCATATCACATATATGACCTCAAACCATATATGATCAAACTATATATGATCAAACCATTCAATAAACCACCTAAAAACGATTTCGTAAAATTTTTGGCAATTTCAGAAAAAGTGTTCCGTTTGGAAAGACCTTTACGTACTACGTCGGTAGTTTGGCATAAATTAGGTTAAGATTTGGCGACTTTCCCAAGTGAAAAATACCGATATATATCCACAATATTATATTATCGGCTTTCCATATCGGTTTTTTTTTGGATATTTTCAACCACACCTCCGCAACCAACAGCCTAACGGCAGCCTATATAACCCTATCGCTATCGCAGGTTAGCAACAGCCTATAATCAACCTATAATCTATATATAGTCTATATATACATATACTAATCCTATAGTATGATTTGTAATATCGATTAATCACTGTATTTGTTTAGGTGATTATATAATTTTAGCTTACTAATGTTTGGAAACTCGTAAGTCTAGATTCATCTGGAAAGTTTAATATTGGCCTAATATATTTGTTTCAAACTATACAACACTCGATAGATCGCGAATTTGAAGCGTAGGAAGAGTAAAAAACTATATAATACAGTATTTTTTTACTTCTTCATTGAGTGTGTTCGACTAGGAGTGCCCAAAACAAAGAAAGATTTTAAAGTTTGCAAATTACTAATTTTGACTTCAAACTGCGATAACGCATTATTAATACGTTAATATACACTCTTGAAGTTATGACTGCTTTCTATTATTGTATTTCCTTTGCGTTTGTATATGCACGGAAAAGTTTAAATCCTACTAAATAATATATATTTAAATCTAAAGCATACGTGATTAAAATTTAAAAGTGTAAAGTCTAAAAGTAAAGATGCAATATATATGACCTATTTGAAGCCCATCGAATATTCACAATTCACAAAGCTTAATTATTAGTTTTGCGATTTTTGAAAAGCATTTAAGTCAAGAATATGATTAATTAAAATTATCAATGGCCTGATAACAATCTGCCATATACCACCAGTCGCCTTTACTGGTGATCGTGATGAAATGTATGTTTGCAATTCGCATGTCACAATATCAGTGACATACACTCGTATGCCTGTTTTAAAAGTTGGGCTGAAATGACACTATAAAACATTTGTCTAGAATAAATAGCATAAAATCATTTTGACATTAACTGAATTTTAGCACAAATGACTATGAATCCAGAACGACTTGAAAATAAAACATATAAAACGCATTCTGATTATCTGATGTCGTTGCCTAGGTGGGGGTCCAGTCTACAGTACAGTGACCGGCTATGGCTAATGGCTGAATAAAATGATAAACAATGATTCGACATAACTAGCAGAAACGTGCCGTTTTAGTCAGACGTAACACATATACTATAATACTATCAACCTGTTGACGAAGGGGGCGTTCCATCCCAACGACAAAGTGTTGTTAATCTTTTTCAGGCATTTTAAACACGAACACAATATTTGTCTACAACTAAACTTCGTTGCTTTATACTTTAATACGCCACCACTAAAAAGCTGTGAAAAGTGTGAAGCAAGCCAAGCGACATACATACCAAGCAGTCTTCGTCTTCCTGCTTACCATAGACAGAGGTTCTCGACGTTCAAAGCAAGCAAAATTTCGACAAATTATTACGAGATACCTGAGATGATGTCTAAGCAACTAAGGCTAAGCAAATGATTAAATTATAGTTTGAATATATTAAACGTAAACTTCCGCTTCAGACCTTAATGACCCCGATGTTGAACGACCACGCAAACCAAATTGGAAAATCTTTAAAAATTTTGCATCATAAAACCCCAGAAAATGTTTTTAAAAACCATGCGGAACAAAGAACAATCTGGTTTCGTACGAGATACGATTTTTTAATGTGTTGACTACCGCATTTTGTGTATCTTAGTACTTATAGTACTGCCACACGTATCTCATGCTAATTTTTTTAATCTCGTTTTAAAAATTGCTTTTGGACTTGCTACATTGTGTGCCTTATGCTCTTATGCTCTAAAAACATATGTTCACAAAATTAACGCTGTGTTAATTTTGTGGATAATGCGTGAACGTACCCCGGTTCCAGTGGGATAGGATAGGATAAAACTTAGAGGTTCTTGTGCCGCCGTAATATAAAATAATTCATTTGTACGTGCTTGCAGTGCCCCAAAATTAGAAGATTGCCAACTAAAATTACTATTTCTGTCACCCATTTGCATAATTACAATGGCTAGTCGGTAGACCGATAGACTACAATTCTAAATATTATTAGCAAAACGCATATATATTGCACCAGCTTCTAAGTATTTTATCACTGATACTGTGTTCTTAGCAAATACTAAAATTCCGGAATTTCCTAGCCAATTACTTTAATTTTTAACTCCATTTGATCCTTTTATTGTTCAACTTTAGCATTATCCAGCTTTCGCTGGCAAACCGTTGCACTTTTTCGACGCGTCTTGTTAATTAAATAAATTATACGACATCTGTGTAATATCTGCCTGCCACCTGAAACGCAGTGTTAATTAAATACGCTGATACTTTACACATTATTTACAATAATTATCATTACCATAGAAATATTCAGTTGCTTCCTTCATAATCCAAGGTTAACTATGGTCTGCTTTAGTTTTCAAATTGAAATTTAAAACGCAGTATTTCTCTATCATCATTTTGTGACATTTGGTATTCGTGGAATTTGGAAAAATATTTCGGAAAATGCTGACAGACGAAAAGTAAAAACTTATATTGATTATATCAAGTGTCAAAGTTGATGTATTCTTGCATCTCATTGGATGAGCTGCCTCGTCCCCAGGCGCTAATAAAAAAATTTCATGCGAGACACTATATGAAAGGTTTACATGAAGTAGTGCATCGCGACGAACAACCGCAGGGAGTTATGCCTTGAGGCATCGAAAATTGAGCGTATCACGCGAAATTGGCAGCAGCTCTTTGGGCAATTGATAAAACTAGAATAGTGAAGCGAATAGTACGAATAGTGCGAATAGTCGACGAATAGTACGAATAGTCCGCGAATAGTCGACGAATAGTACGAATAGTCCTCTAATAGTTGACGAATAGTACGAATAGTCCGCGAATAGTCGACGAATAGTACGAATAGTCCGCGAATAGGCGATGAATAGTACGAATAGTCGACGAATAGTGCAATGGAGACTTTGCAAGGTTTTGCAGCAGTGCCGTAGAACTAAATTTACCGGGGGGGGGCTCTATTGACAAACATGAAACCGTGAAACATTCGTTGACGTACGTCAATGACGTCATACGTAACCGGTAAAAATTACGGGAACCACTGAGTATTTTAATAAAATATAAAACAACGGTAATTTCGTAAATAAACATTTTAATATTCTAGCTTTCGACTAAAATTCAGTCATAGTCAGGAAACATATTTCATATTTTTTAATTAAAAATCATTCCTGGTGGTGGGTGGTAACCATATGAGTCATGAATTTTACTGATGGAATTTTATAGGAATTTTACTTGTAAGTTGTGACTTTGTTAACTGAAGATTTAAGGGCTTAAGTGATCACGTGTGCTTGGAAAACGTGATTTACATCACGAAACAAGAGAAGGTATCGATTTATTATTTATTAAGCCCGTTTTTGGGCGAATTTGTTCGCGCGAAGCGAAAACCAAATTTCGGCAATGTGATTGGTCAGCGAAAAAATTGGATCAGTTCCTACTCTTTTACTTGTCGCTTCGCGCGAACAAATTCGCCCAGTAGAAAACGTCATTCTAGTGATTGTCATTCTACTTCCTGTTAAAAATTTGTTAAAACTCTGTGGTTCCCGTAACTTTTATTACCGATTACGTATGACGTCATTGACGTCAACGAATGTTTTCACGATTTCATGTTTGTCAATAGAGCCAAACACACACCCCCCCCCCC